TCCATCCATCCATCCATCCATCCATCCATCCATCCATCCATCCATCCATCCATCCATCCATTATCTGACAATCTGTCTGTCTATCAGTCTATCTATCTATTCATCCACCCATCTGTCTATCCATCTATTTATCCATCCATCCATCCATCCATCTGTCTGTCCAACTGTCCGTCCGTCTGTCCATTGACCTATCTATCCATCTATTATCTGTCTATCTGTCTGTTTATCCATCCATTCATCCATCCATCCATCTCTCTATCTCTGTCTGTCTGTCTGTCTGTCTGTCTGTCTGTCTGTCTGTCTATCTATCTATCTATCTATCTATCTATTCATCCATCTGTCTGTCCATCCATCCATCCATTATCTGACAATCTGTCTGTCTATCATTCTGTCTATCTATTCATCCACCCATCTGCCTATCCATCTATTTATCTATTTATCCATTCATCCATCCGTCTGTCTGTCTGTCCGTCTGTCCATTGACCCTCTATTATCTGTCTATCTGTCTGTTTATCCATCCATCCATCCATCCATCCATCCATCCATCCATCCATCCATCCATCCATCCATCCATCCATCCATCCATCCATCCATCCATCTATCTCTGTCTATCTATCTATCTATCTATCTATCTATCTATCTATCTATCTATCTATCTATCTATCTATCTATCTATCTATCTATCTATCTGTCCGTCCGTCCGTCCGTCCGTCCGTCTGTCTGTCTGCCTGTCCGTCCGTCTATCTATCACTGTCTACTATCTATCTCTTTTAAAAGACAAAAGAAATTAGTTTTTAGAAGTTAGTTATTACTAATATTGTTTAAAATCATTTAAATATAGCAATTTAAATGATTATATTTTTTTAAATAATTATTTATAATTTTATATACTTATAATAAAAAGCAAATAAAAAATAAAAAATGACTAGATGCCCTGTAATATCAGAGAAAAATGCAATAAATAATAAATACAAAAAAGCTTTAGGGACTTGCGTAAACAATGACAGCTCATACGCAATTTCCTCAAACATTTGACTGATTGTGTTCAGCATTAATGGAAGCTACACTTATAATTCCAGCAGAGTTCTGGGCTGTAGGAAAAGCATGCGTGTCTCTGTATGTAAATGAGCCATACCTGTGAGCAGTATTTAGACTTGGAGACGACCTGAAGCAGCTTCATGATTGGCTGAGATTGAGAGACCAGCGGTGAGGTGGCGTGAATTACCGCGGTAAACTCCAGACCAGGACTGATCCCTGAACAGAAGAAAACAGCATAACTGTAGACAATCCTCAATATTAAATGAGCTAAAAGTGGGCGTGGCATGTTTTATACTGCAAGCTGATTGGATTTGGTAAAGTAGGCGTTTCAGTCAGAAGTTCGGGAGTTGGGGGGGCGGGGTTAAGTATGTTTTGTTTAGCGTCAAACTAGCAATGTAAGCTAACAAAATCAATATGGTTAGTTTTGATTTTTATATGTACTTGATATGATAACAACTGAATAAATGTCATGCTGTCATGCAGGACAAAAGCAGTGTAAAGGAATGCGCCTCACCCAGGTGTAGGTAGTAGAAGGGGTAATGCGCCAGGTGTGTGGAGAACTCGGGCAGCACCAGCAGTCCTCCAGGTAAGGCATTCCACATCAGCTTATTTCTGGAGATGTGTGAGTACACTCTGTCCTTGATGATCTGACACACATTTGTACACATAATAATATATATTAAATTAAATTACCCATTAATTGTATGTTATCAACCTCCACCCTCACCCCAACCCTAAACACAAACCTCACAATAATGAAAAATAAAGTAATTATACAGAGGATTATTCATATTATTTAATAAATGACACATTTATTGTATATTAATAACATCTACCCCTAAACCCAGCCCTCACAGTAATGTAAAAACAGTAATTATACAGAGTAATGTTCATATAATATATTAAATTACACATGTATTATATTTTATTAGCGTTTACCCTATACCCCATCCTTAAAACCTCAACCAAATCCCTCACAGTAATGTAAAAACAGTATTTATACAGAGTAATATTCATATTATTTATCAAATTAAAGATTTTTTTGTATAATATTAATGTCTACTCCTACCCTAAACATGTAAAAACAGTAAATAAAACGAGCATTATTCATGTTACTTATTAAATTATCCAATACTTGTATTATATTAATGTCTGACTCAACCCGTAACCCTAAACCCAGCCCTCACAGTAATGTAAACAATATGAATTATTGGTGTTCAGTGTCACGCAAATGATGCTGTATTGATGTGAGTATCTGCAGCGGTATCCCCAGGCCCGGATTAAGAACTCAGGGGCCCCTGGGCACATTATCTTGTAAGGCCCCCTACCTGGCCGCACCCCTATAGTTGAATTTAAAAAATAAGAATAATATAATAATTTTTAAATAAAATGAATCTATAATTTGTTGCCCACATATTTAAATAAATAATATATAGTACATATGTATTTATAGTCTGCAAAGATTTAAATTATTTTTCAAAGCATTAAATAAAAATACTAATAAAACTACATATACATACATATATATATATATATATATAT